GATTTCTCTCAACTTAACTGTAAGGTGTGCTACAGGTCGAGGATAAGGGTTGTAAACATTCAACGAAGATATCGATTAAAAGCAACCTCTTTCCCAGGGTCCTCTCCTACTCGGCCCACTTGGCGTCATGAGGAACCTTGAGAGAAGGCTGGGTCGGAGAGGATCGTGGGAACGAGGTTGCGAATGCAGTTAATTGTTAGCCTGGTTACTTTCGACTACAGTACTGTATAGACAATCACCACTAAAAGGGGAGCCGAGGGGGAGAAACGCGTGAACGAGAAAAGATGAGAGGTCCCTTTCCTTTTCTCCCCAATCCCTTCTTACTTTTCCCTCCTTTCCCCTCCCCTTTAGACGCCTGCCACGCAAACTAAAGGCCTCCTTGTTAACTAAACTCGACTGCTACAGTATAATCGGCTCGACGAAGGGGGCTCAGGTGCTAGTCATGCTTTGGTGATCGTACACAATCTTGTGTTGTAAATGGCTCTACTCGGGTAAGACTTTCGTTCAGATTAATTAGCAAAAACTTGAACAGAAACTACGGTCAATATATTTATCTTTATATTCTCGCGTACATGTACAAGGCACTTGCGGGGAAGAAACTCTTCAGTATTTGACCTCAAATCAAATTTATTCAGAATCGCCTGAGGGACTTTCCGGTTCTGAATTTTCTAGAAGTACACTCCGGGTTTTTTTTGTCTTTAATTATGCGATACGGAAACCTTCATCTTAAAAAAATGAGTTATCTGTCTTTCGACATTTTACTTTCTTGTAGAAGCCTTACAAGTCGTTGATAAAAAAAGGTACACGGAACAGTCGGGAGCCCTTGCATTGCATGTCATTCAGGGTGCTCAAAAAGCACATTAAGATACCCGTGACGTACGTAGTAGACCGACTGGTAGTCTCTTATTTTCTTTACTAATGGTACGGCATGTGAAATACAAGAACCGAGCTTGTCCATAAGCTTATTATCTGTATTCGAAACTGATGACTGATAATAAGACTAAACCAGTTTCCTTCCTCATGTTTCCTTTGAACGCCTTTGTTCAGTGGGGATACTGGTATGGGATTGTTTTCTACTTTCAAATGTATACTAGCAAGAGATCGAGTACTTACGTTTTGTGAATAATTTAATTCAGTCTCTCAGATGAACCTTGACATAAATAATTTTTGTGGAAATTTAACTCCATGAATTTTGTCAGGAGTTTTAAAATCACACACACATACAGACAACAAAAATAGAAAAGGTTTCATTTGTAATAAATTCTCACTGGGAGCCCCCACTCCTAGCTAGCTCGGAGGCGGAAAGGAGCGGGAGCTAAGGCGCCAGAGGGTGTCATCGTTGCGGGGAGGTGGGTGGGGCGACAAACTAGCTGTTTGGTGTCCTTTCTCCTCCACAGAGGCCCCTTTGTGTTGCTGTTTTTAACCCAGCGGGAGCCTCTACGCGGAGGAGAGAGTCTGGTGTCCGTTTTAACGAAGAGAGGAATAAACAGCATGATAATAGGCCAATTTATACTAGACTCACGAATATATGCACAACGAGTTCCCCTGTGGATCCACAGATGCGCGGGAATTTAAATGCATGGGTATTACTGGCACAGGGAGCGTTTGTACGTGACGGCCCCAGCTAGTGAGAATAGTGACGAGGATTTTTAATAATGAATTCTATCCCCTCCCCGGCCCAACAGCCACGCGCTTAGTGCTCTCTTTAACATTGGAAAACGGTTATTTTATCATTTTGTTATTATTATTCACGCCCGTCCTGTTATATTGTTACGTGGTCCGATTCTCTCGTCCTGTGGTCTTATCGTGACGTGAGGAGGTTACTCAACTTCATTAGCCTAGCGAATTCACCTTTATGTATGTTTTGCAAACAAGAGAGTGAATCCCTTGGGCATTTATTCATTATATGTTCCTGTACTAAGAGTTTCTGGTTGGACTTTATTACTTGGAGTAATCAATTAAACATATTCTTAAGAGACCTTTCAGACAGCGATATACTTTTTGGATTTTGGCAAAGGAAAGAAGACTACCTATTTATTAATCACATGTTAGTCTTAGCTAAGCAACATATTTATGAATGTCGTGACAAATGTACTTATCCTTCCCTTGCAATTTTTTAAAATAAACTCAGTTATGTTCACCAGTTAGAAAAGAAACTTATGAATTCAAATAGCAAAGTTGACGATCAGGAAGGTAAATGGAAAAGTTTCAGTTATTCTGCTGTGGTAGTGAGAATTAAAATGCAAAAAAACTTTTCTCCTCTTTTATAGTAGTAATTGTACCTAAACATCCTTTGTATCAGCCATTATTATATGTATAGTATAATTAAACTACTACTTGTAGTAGTAGCTTATTGGTATAGATGTAGTAGTGCATGTACAAGCCATGTGACATTATCAATAAAAAAATTAAGAAAAACTTCATTATTAGCCTGCGCGGCTGGCGAGAGCCGCGAGAAGACTAGGATCAGATCAAATTGCGGCTAAGAAAGTAACCCGCGCATAATAATCCCGCCAGCTTCGCAAACTACTTCATTACCGTGATGTGGTTTCGTCAAACAGTTGAAACTTCGTCATGTTAGGACATGGTTACATGACATAATGGCAAAACCTCGTCAAATACTAAGGAAACAACAACCCTATAATAATGGAACCACATCACAATATTTCGAGACGACATCACATTACTGCGAAACCTCAACACCAAACAGATCAATGACCATGTAAGAATGTTACTATGGCTTTTCATACTTTTTCCGTTTTCCCTCAATGTTTTCGCATTATAATAATCATATTTCCCGGCTTTAGAGTAGATTGTTCGTTTGTAATGTGCAGAAACCATCTACAATCAAATTCTTGAAAATTAATTACAATGTCAAAAGGGCCTGAGAAGCAGGAAGAAAGAAGAAATCGTCAGCACGGCAAGGAACCTTAGAATCTCATCATGTCGCAGAATCAGAGCCACTTTCCGTCGATTGTGAGACTAAATGTCGGAGGTAAGCGCTTTACCACAAGCTTGCAAACGCTAACAAGAGATCCCAACTCGATGCTTGCAGCCATGTTTTCAGGAAGACATAAGGTAGAGACGGCTACTGACGACGGTTCGTTTTTTATCGACCGAGATGGAACTTACTTCCGCTTTATATCCGCGACGGAGAAGTAGTTTTGCCAGAGAGTCCTAAATTCCTTAAGGAACTTGAAGCAGAAGCTAGGTTTTACCAGCTGCAAGGGGTACTAGGTGAGCTGGGGGTTATAAAGGCCTTAAAAGTGTTGGAGAAATCTGTGATTTTGACGGCTGCGAAGGATCGAAGAGTCTTGATAGGCTGGATACCTTTGGAATATACACTTGAGGGCGAATGGTTATTGTTGTACCGAGCTTCTCGCGATGGTTTCAATGGTTCAGCATTTCATGAGCGATGCGACAACATAGGGCCTACAGTCACCGTTGTGAAAAGTGGTGCAAACGTTTTTGGAGGCTTCACTGAGCGGGCTTGGACAAGTAAGACTGCTAACACTGCTTTTGATTGTGTATTAACATGATACAAAAATTATAAAATGCAAGGCGATCATGCACACAAAGTAGACAAAATGAGAATAGTCCATTTTAGACCATTTTGCAGTTACAGGTGGAAACGAGGCTGGAGTTGACCTTGTTTTCATACAAACAACCCTTCCTGCTTCATTATGCAAATCATTTCATTCTTATGCTAACTAACTAGCTATTTTTAGCATAAGTTCCATAAGCGAAGGAAGAAGGTTTGTACCAAAACAAGGTCAACCTCAACCTCACGTTCACTCAGAGGATAGGACACAAGCCCACAACTGTATAACGGCCTATTAGGCCAAGTAAAAAAAAATGTTTCTCGTCCCCGCCCGCTTCATTGTTTGGGGCCGCCTCTCCTTTTTTTATTATTTGTTATTAGTAACGATTGTACGAACAAAAACCAACAGGCGTTACTTTTACTGTATGCCACGAAAGGGGATGTAAGCCAAAGACGAAAATCACGAGGAGCTTTCAGGCAAGCTAAATCATAGTCCTATTGACGTTTTCAATGCACCCTTCCTATTGCGATATATCGTATGATGCATCACGTTGTTGTTTAGAACATGTATCAAAATGATACAAACTTGTGTTTAATCAATATCTGACGTTTCATTTTATTAATATTTGACCTAAGAACTCCAACTGATCCCTGGGGGAGGGTAATAATGTGTAAAGAAAGCATTCAATTAGAAATAATAAAAAAGTCGGAAATAACAGAAAAAGCGCCCGCCCACAGCCTCGTACCCAGGCCTGTTCGCGCTATCCGAGTGACCAGAGGAGGCTTGGAACCGAGCGCGTCCTAGGCGAATTTTCCCGACAAGCTTGACAGGTGACGTCACATCCGAAATCGCCGAGGACGACTGGGAACGAGGCTGGCCCGCCCAGTCTCTTTTGTATAGAAATCCGAACGAGAAACATTTGTTTTTCTAACTTGGCCTTAGCCGGTAAACTTAACTTGTATCTAACTGTTTATAAGAGTTGATTTATTTCCATCATACGCGTATATACGTTCTTGACCACTGCCGATATATCATATATATCTTTTTATAAACAGAACCGAACGAACCAAAGGAATGGGCTCCTCCAAAACACGAATGGCTGCCTTGCCGCCAAGCCTTCCTGTTCAGCTTAGTCAACCCTAGTGGTCTGGGACCGACCAAAATGTCGCTACTTAATGGGAGGGAGCAGTTTGCGATCATAAGTTATTATGACTGTGGACCAGTGTTTGGACAAGCGTGCAAACTGTGCGTATTTCCAGAGAAAAGAAAATGTGGTTACAGTTATCTTGGCGATACCTATCAGTGCCCACCAGGGCACCAGAATACGTTCTTCACAGGCAGTAGAGAATTCACTGTTACAGACGTCGAGGTGTTTGGACTTTGCCATTGACAAATAACCGTACAGTTAATAATAATAATAATAATAATAATAATTTTTTTAATAATTTTTTTAAAAAT